AGAGAAGTCTCTCGGATCGAGGTTGCTCAGCAGAGAAGTCTCTCGGATCGCGGTTGCTCAGCAGAGAAGTCTCTCGGATCGAGGTTGCTCAGCAGCTTCTCTCGGATCAAGGTCGCTCAGCAGAGAAGTCTCTCGGATCGAGGTTGCTCAGCAGAGAAGTCTCTCGGATCAAGGTCGCTCAGCCGAGAAGTCTCCCGGATCGAGGTTGCTCAGCGGAGAAATCTCTCGGAGCAAGGTCGCTCGGCATAGCTCTCTCTCTGATCGAGGTCGCTCAGCACAGAAGTCTCTCGGATCGAGGTTGCTCAGCAGAGAAGTCACTCGGATCGAGGCACCCACTCCAAAAACCTTCAAAGAATAACCTTACCCCGATGCCGCCCAGAGGTAGCTTGGACCCCCTGCCTCGTCGCAAAGGTAGCCCGACTCCTGACAAAAGAGCTAGGGCTAGGATTTTGGATCGACCCACAAACTTCCCCCAGGGGGGGGGGGGTTCTCAGAAACATTTATGGGTGATGCAAAGGTTCGGTACAGAAAAAACGAGTATTCAAACGCAGTTTCAGGGAGGTTTCAATTGGGCTAGTCGTTGTGCAAAGAACGGAAAGGCGACAAGAGTGTGAGGAGCGAGGTAAATGCAAAGGGAGATGAGCAAGGGTAGCAACGCAGAAAAAACATTGAAAGGGATGCCCAATGACCGCAAACTGCAACCAAACTGCTAACAACCAAACTGCCAACACCTGGAGGACCAACAGCCGAGTGATGTTGCGAGCCTCGCGCCGTCGCCGGCGTGCCAGCACATCTTGGAGATCCAGGTTCTGGAACTTCCGTCTAGGCCTTGGACAGCTTATGGAAGAGCCCGAGGTGTTGAAATCAGATAGGGGGCATACTGGGTACCCCAGAAAAGTTCCTCAGAAAATATGGGAGATGGAAGGGAACGTTAAAAGAACAACGCATAAAACCACAAAAATAAAGAGCCCAGAAATTTAGAAATGTACTTTCGGAGGCCACGCCTACCCTAAACCCCCCCTGAACCCCCCCTTTGGTGCTTTCACGCACTTTGCTGAGGCCGTAGCGACAAGGAGCAACGCCCCATAGCAGAGCTGTCCAGCAATCTAAAGCAGGGCTGCTTGAAAGTTCTCAAGTCTGCAGCATCAAATCCCTGTGAGTTTGGTGTGCAGAGAGGCAAGAATGCAAGAGTTTTGGGCATGGTCTTCGCAGGTTGAACAAAACTTTTGGTCAATCGTGGCCTTTCTGACATTTTGGCTGCATGCAAGGGTTCTGGCACAAAAGTTTCCAATTACTCTTCCACTGGAGGTCAATTTGCTTGCTGAGCTCAGTGGCAATGCTTCAGAACATTCTCATGCTATGACTTTTCGGCTCAAATTGCTTTGCAAACTGTGCAGTCGTGACTTCTTGCGGCACGATGTAAACCATTTTCAAAAGTAGCATTTGACTGGTAAGGGTCTGCAGAATCGGCATGTGACTGGTAAAGGTCTTCAGAAACGACATGTGGCCAAAAATCATATCTTGGCCTGCCTCTGGAGCTTTAAACCATTTTCAAAGTAGCATTTGGCTGGTAAAGGTCTGCAGAATCGGCATGTGGCCAAAAATCATATCTTGGCCTGCCTCTCGAGCTGTAAACCATTTTTCAAAAGTCGCATTTGGCTGGTAAAGGTCTGCAGAATCGGCATGTGGCCAAAAATCATATCTTGGCCTGCCTCTGAAGCTGAAAACCATTTTCAAAAGTAGCATTTGGCTGGTAAAGGTCTGCAGAATCGGCATGTGGCCAAAAATCATATCTTGGCCTGCCTCTGGAGCTGTAAACCATTTTCAAAAGTAGCATTTGCCTGGTAAAGGTCTGCAGAATCGGCATGTGGCCAAAACTCATATCTTGGCCTGCCTCTCGAGCTGTAAACCATTTTTCAAAAGTCGCATTTGGCTGGTAAAGGTCTGCAGAATCGGCATGTGGCCAAAAATCATATCTTGGCCTGCCTCTGAAGCTGAAAACCATTTTCAAAAGTAGCATTTGGCTGGTAAAGGTCTGCAGAATCGGCATGTGGCCAAAAATCATATCTTGGCCTGCCTCTGGAGCTGTAAACCATTTTCAAAAGTAGCGTTTGGCTGCAAATCATGAGTTATCTGCTGGCCAGAGCAACATGATGTTTTTCGTCTAACAACTAAACCAATTGTTGCAATCAAAAATTCCTGCGCAGCAAGAAGTAAGAAATAGTGTCTTCAGCTAAATGACGCAGACTGAGGCGAGAGCCGCGATCGTGGCGGCAACCTGCTCTTTCATGGGGACCTTCAAGAGCTTGCAGAAGGAAGCTGCGTGCTCAATGAACTCGTTGCACCGATACTTTTTTGTGGGCATCCATTACCTTAGCATTGCGTGATGTGATACAGCATGCCAAATTGAAGAACGGCACACACGAAGAACCACGACTGATGACTCGATTCGCAAACATGTTGAGATCAAAGTTGTTGCGTACAAACACAGCAGACACATGGAAAGAATTTGTGCATCAGCTCACCGCACGCGCCAACGCTGTGAAGATCATGGCAATCTCCAAAAAACGCGTCTGGCCAGTTTGTAACGCCGAGGTCATAGCACGGCCACTCATGTTCGCCTCCATTGTCCAGCAAAGCGTTCTGCATCTCATTCATAGGCGCATGTTCGTGCTCAGAAATGCTACTGTGTTACATCCGCATGACATGCAGTGAATGTAATGGATATGGCTTGCACATACATGCACGCAGACGAAAACAAAATGACGCCGATTCAAACAAAAGGCAACGATGCCCTTGACGTTTTTGGTCGTCAGATCAGCGCAGAAGTCCAGAAACTTCTCGCCTGAACTGCACAAACAACTACTCAACTCGAGCCAATGACGAAACAAGCCGCAGAACATCTTGTGAGAAAAACACGCAAACCCGAAACCCGAAATCCTACACCTTAACCTTTCACCCTGAACCCTTGAAATCCTGGGAAAGGCCACCCAAAGCGCCAGCAGCAGGATCTGCAGCTCCAAACTGCCCAGGCGCTTGTCAGGCACCAAAGTTGTAACTTGTGGTGTTCAGCCCTGTCTGAATCACGCGGCGGCCTCCAGGACCACTGCCACATCCTTCTTCAAGGCCTTCGCATGTCCGTTGTCAGGTGGTGGTACGTGCTTCTAGACGCCTTACGCTTCCGAGACCCCAACATATGTATAGACATCTTGCGTTTATGTGATCTGAGAAAAGGTGACCACAAGGTAGAAGAAAGGTAAACCGAACAGGTAAAGGCAAAGTGAAGGTAGCTGGGAAAGGTAGATCGAAGGGGGAAAAGAAGATAAAAGGCAGGCAAAGGGCAAAAAGGTAAGGAAAAGGTAGGTCGCTAGGAGCACACGGCCGTTTACTTTTACCCGTTTCCAGTTACCTGTATTCCACTTTTCTTAAATATTGCAACATAATGCATCTTTCCCTTTCTCCAATGATGGGATCTCGTAACCTTATGCCCAGCAAGACGCTACACGTTGGGCCTTCTTGGGATAGTTTTGTTCCGTGCCTTTCTGGCAAGGCCCCTCGAGCAGAGCTGGCGTCGTTCTGCAGCAATGACAGGGCGCCCCTGACTTCCAAATTGCCCGGCCCTTGCCCTGCAGCAACCCTCCCCCACTACCTCCCTACTTCAAGTATGATTGAAGGGCTCCAGCGCAGTTCCAAGATACCGCCCTCACCATGTTTAATTCGAATGCAAGAAATGCCAATTTTCTGCAAAATATTCAGGCTGTTGCACACGGGACGGTCTGGGCCGAAGAGCCTTTTCAGAAAAGGGGATGGTTTGGGCCGAAGGGCCCTCTCATAGAAAATTCCAGGGCGTGAATAGCTCCTGGTTTTCGATTCCAACACTGCCTTCTGAGCTTGTCTTGTTTTCACGGTCCGTTTGGAGCCCCACACGTCACCATGGACAGTGCTGTTACAGCCTTCATCTAGAATGGCGTAAACTCCCTTCTCCTTGTAGATGTCCACTATGGGCAAATCGCAAAGAACCATGGACGAAATCCCGGCTATTGCATCACATTCGCTTCACCACCCTTACAAGGGGAAAATTTCACCAAACAGTACGCTGTTGTTGTCAAATAGGGCACTGGTCGAGGTGCTTTGTATCTGAGGCTATCTGAAGGAATTTTGCAAGGAAGGAATAGGGAAAGATCGGCGGATCTATGTCGCGTTCCTGAAACCATTGCTTGCTGGAGAAAGAGGAAAATCTACGGGCTGCGCCCTACCTAGCTACGGGCAGTATGCTTACCAGTTTGAATTGAGCTTGTGCGGTCCGCTACGAAGCCTACCTTTTGGCTAGTTGCGCTTGAGCTCAAGGCGCCTTCAGTCAAAAAGAAAATGCAACTTATGCCCTTTATTAGGGGTCGGCACTAGAGAGTACTAAGTACTCGCTAGTGCCAACCTAAGACATGATTACTCTACGCTGACACGACCTCGGTACGCTGTACAGGACTGTATCACAGGCCTTCTCGGGATGGGGTTTCGGTAGGGGTTTGGGATTTAAGCCCAATTTAGGGTTTCAGGTTTGAGGTTTGAGGCTTACGGTTCAAGGGGGGGAGGCCCTGAGGCTTTGCAGCCCCCCAGGAACTCCTAAACCCAGCAGACACCCAGTTAGCGGCCAGCCATTCTATGTATATGTGTATATATATATGTATATAATTGTATCAACTGCTAACCTATCGAGTCCGCGGTCAAGGCGGTGCAAGTCCCATGATCTGAGGGCATGTCCAAGCCGTCGCTTCCACTGGGGGCCAATCCTGCTCAGGGCACTGGCGCTTGCTTGGCGCTTGCTCGTATGATCTCGTGTGTTTGCTAGAAACTGCTAGCATCTCGATCAGCACACTAAAGGAGTGGGTGCAAAGGGTCTCAACAAGCTGGCAGGCCTTGGGTTCACGAATGTCCGCACTTGGCCATTGTTCTGCTGCTACTCTGTACCCTGATGTACCCTGGAGATATCTCACATTTCGCCCCTAGTCAGGGGGGCTGCGGTTGTGACAAAGAGATCCACTTGCAGCGGTGCCTGGTAGACCCAGAGGTGCCAAGACCCCATCCTCGTAAACGAGGAACGCTGCTCCGTAAGTCCAGGTGACGGGAACAATCACCGTCACAAAGAGCTTGAAGGGCACCAGGAAAGCATTGAACCACAATGCGATCAGAGAGAAACATATCAGAACCTCGAAGACAAGCCAGCACGTCTCAGATTACCCAGACTTGCGCATCTTGCACACTTCTTGTGAGACTGAGTCCTGGGCGCAGATCAAGAAACATGTCGGTAAAGCTGAAGATGTGACAGTGATGAGGTCAGTCACCACTGAGGCAGGTGAGAACAAAAAATACCTGACAGAGAGAACACCTCTCCAGAGATGAACCACAAGTCAGTTCTGATCCAATCGAACCTATACAAAAAGAAAACGTCCTGGGCCCTCGTGCAAAAAAAACAATCCACTTAAGCGTCCGATTGAGTGCCAGGCGGCCGCAGCTGCGGGATTGTAGCGCGGCCACGCTGTTGCATCTCTTGCAGGACTTGCGATACCTGGGCCTCGAGCTGGAACGCCTGTGGTCCCAGAGGGTCCATCACTGGATTGAGCACGGTCAGCATAGCGTTCTTGCGGACCATCTCATCCCACATGAGGTCGAGGTGCTCTGAGGTCTGCGTCAAAAAGACGTTGCGCGCCAGAAAGCTCTTGCGAACCAAATTCATTTGACTCAAGCTTGGACAAACTAGCTGCCCGAAAACTTCATTAAACATGCTCTTCGCAAAAGGCAAAGGGGAATGGATGTAGCTCTTGTCGATGGGAACGCTTGGACTTTGGAAGCTCTTCGCTCGAAGCTCATAGGGCGTACCATCAGTTCTCGCTATCAGCGCTCGAATCATCTCGCAGTTCAGCTGAAATAAGTCTTCATTGACCAGTGGGGCCGAGACCGTGCCAGCACTCTCCCCATCCAAATCCGCCGCATTGGTGGCGAAAATGAGGATTGGCCTCGACCACAGTAGCATGATTGAAAACAGCTGCGGACGCTGACAAAAAGAGAAAGCAGGTGAACAAAGAAGCCCGCAGCCACACCAGCGACCAGAAGCCGAGCAGCATGAGAGTCATCTCAAAGTCAAAGTCCTAGCATGGCTGATAAAGGCATGCCTGGCACGTCAAGTCCATCTCACGAACCTCATAATAACCCATCTCACGAACCCCTGCATCTCCTGCATGATCTCAAGGCTGGTGTTGAAAGCTCGGGAGCCTCGAGGCATGGTCATCTCGAAGCTGTGGCCCATCTTCGTGAACCTTGGAGTGGAGTCACTGCGTAGCACACCGACCTGCTTTAAGAAGCTCATGTCGCCGCTTCAGTTGGTGAACATGCAGAAAATTGAGGCGCGCACTGAAAATTCAGAATGTCGAAATTCTGCAAAAATCTGGACGTTAATGGCATCATGAGCGCATAGACTGTGACAAAAGATATCAAATTGCAAGGAAAGGCTGTGAGGATCTTGCCCAGGCAATAGTACGGCCCTGAACGGAACTGCTCGACCCGTCTCATTGCTTCACCTGTTGCAAGACATGGAAGAAGGAGAAGGTACGTCCACCACTGCACGAGACATGTCACGAAGTCCAAAAACAAGTGTCATGTTGAGTCAATCTATGCGATGTTTCCCAGTCCTGTCGGGCTCAAAGGCTCCACTTCTGCAGGGTTTCCAGCGTCTGGACCCAGCCATGGCAAGATGGCCAGCACCGGTGCCACGAATGTGAGCTGAGCTAGGACCTCGATGCCCAGAGCATCACCAACTCGCAAACAAGCAGACAGAAAGCCCGGGCCCCCTGAGTAGGCGGCACACACCATAATCGCAGATGCCGCAGCGATTCCGAAGGTTTTGAACATATCAGGAAGACCGAGCATCACGGACCAGCAGATTGACAAAACGACACCTCTACAGGGAGGCTCATCCCTTGTATCCCACGCATGCGTGACATTAAGCTTGAAGCTCTTTCTGCCCCAACAAAATACTTTCCGCATGTGCCTGATACAACCACGATGCTGCCACTGCTCGCTACCATCTGAATGACGGCCTCCTCGACCGACGAACCTGCCTCTCGCTCTGTCTTGTAGCGAGTGAGCATAAAGAGAGCGTAGTCCCAAGATAGTGCCATGATAAGCATCAACATGATCATCAGCGCGTAGTAGCTGATTGTCATCCCCGCACAAGATACAAAATACATAAAGCCAAAACCAACAAGGATCTCAAACAACATGGGCGTTAATGCCAGCAGCAAAAGTCTCCCGCTTCTCAGGACATATCCGAGAATAAGGATCGGCAGCCACACCGTCTTGACTTCGTGCACTGTAAAGTCAAAGATGGATACCTTAACAATGAAGCATGTACGGTGCCAGGCCCCGCAAGAAAAAAGAACCATCTAGCCATTAATGAAAGCAGGAAAAGAATTCTCACAAACAATATACACAACACCCAGTCAAAGGGCTTTCATTTCATGGTCAAGGATGATGTTGCCCGTGAGTTTGACCTCCATTGCGCCTTCACCTCCAAACTCATCTATAGACTGGATGAATTCACGTAGTTGAACGACAAAGTCTTCCGCCTTCTGCTTTAGCTGAACTGGAACTGACCACGTCCACATCAGCATGATACTCTGATGGTCTTTTGACTTGAAGGGATTCAACAGCTGATGGTGTCCAACAAAATCGAAATAAGACTGAAAAGATACCGCAGAAGATGGATTCTCAGATCCAAAACGTAAAACTCGGTCTTTGATCTGCTCAGCATAGACCTCTGCAACGTTGTTGCTTTGCACATCGATGCACCAGGTCTTGCACTTCATCACCACCTCGGTCACAGACGAACCGACAAACGCTCCGTGGCACCGGCAGCATTGCCACAGGGTAAAAAGGTTTTGGCCTAAAAAACTTGCTTCGCAGTTTGGCTGAGACACCATCTCCAATCGCTTGGTGGACGCACTGTGAAACTGCCTGTCTCACGACACGCACAGGTGTGAAAGTGCAGTCGAAAAAGGACATGTGAGAAGGGATGTGGGGACATGGTGGGGTGAGTCTCGAGGAAAGCACTCGATAGCGCTAGAACGCGCTTCACACCACCTCTCAAATCAGCATTGAAGTGGGGAGTTGACTGTTGCACAGCATCCAAGTCCTGAGTGTGCCTGCTGAACGTGCCGTTCCAGGGTTATGGAAACGTTTAGATGTTGGGACTCGCTTAGCCTGGGCAAACAAGGGATTGTAAAACCATGCTTCTCTGGGGCCGTGCTGCGAATCAAGCACTTCCATAGCCGCTGCACTCTGTGTGCCCGCAGGAGGTGTCTTGTCCATTCCAACCTAGCAAGGAGATCTGAAGCAAGTCAGCGCAAGTCACGTGCTTCGTTTCACTGCAGCTCCTTGTCATGTCCTATGTGTCCTAGATCTGCTTAGCCTCTGTGCAGTTGGGGCACGGTGCGCCGTACCACTAAGATCAACGCCGGGATGGTAAAAATCACGGCTGCTATAATCCATGTGCCAACGAGGCAGAATCTATGTCTGTAAACACTTCTTGCGATGACATACATGCAGGCATCCATATAGCTGGCATCCTTGGATGTCACCAGGCCACAGACCTGGACCAAACTAACGTACTCGTTCCCACGCTTCCTGGCGCTCACTGCGGAATGCTGCGCAAGCGTCATGATCGTCTCGGTGCTTCTCCCGGTCATCGTAATTGTCAACATGGCCATCGGACATTCCCAGAAACAAGAGTACTATTCACCAACTGCATCATGGCAACTTGAAAGGTGATGAAGTAAGTATGCTTCAAGCAGTGCTCAACCTCTTGCTTCAGCGAATTCAACTCGCAAAACCAAAAATTCAAACGCCTAGCCGCTTGGTCTCAAGCAGGACAGTCCATTCATATTCATGTTGTGGGTCTGTTTTTTTAAAACTCACAAGCTTGAAGGACAGCACAAGCAGGATGCTTCTATCCCTGTCTGCTCACAAGCCTAGGCCATCCAGGCAAAAGTGCATGCAAAACAAGTAACACCAGCGAACGGGCGGACATCAGGACAACCTTCAGCTAGCATCTGTCCTGCAAAGAAGCACACACAACTCACTGCCATCTGCCGATTGACTTGACAAGAACCAACCGTGAAAGCTTGCGCACGCACGCACGCACACACGCACGCACGCACGCACACACGCACACACACACACACACACACACACACACACACACAGAGACAGACACACGTGCACAAAGGAGTCCTTGCTCCGCAATCAGCGGCAAGGCATTTGCACATAGGCTGTACCCTGAAAGCAACTGAAGTCGTTTTGAAAAGGCAGACCTGTGCCATCTTCCACTACGGCTGTGGCAGCAGCAAGAACTATTGAATCCATTGTTTCCGCAACGTTTCAAGCTGCCCCGTGCTGCGTTTGAGTCTAACTTGTGGTTCTGAGATCTAGCTGTCGAGCCCAAACACATTGCAGGAAGATGAAAGAAGCCCAGTCACCAATCCTGCTGCAGTACTCCCGCAACAGCATGTGGGCAACAGCGTATGGGTGCTTAAGGCATCAAGCGGAGCACGAAAGAAAGTCCTCCAGGGCCTGAGACGCGGTACTTGACGTCTTTGGCTTTAGGCTTGTGGCGGTCGCTGTCATCTAAGATGAACTCCACCTGGCAACAAAGCAAAAAGGAACAAGCAGCAAAGACACAATGTCAAGAACCTCTTTAAGAACGAATTGTCCCAGAAATGCCTCCGTTCGCTTGCCATCTCCAGCGCACACGTAATCCGCAGGTGCGCCGTCAAGAAATGCCCTGCCAAAGAAGTCAAGCGCTGTGAAAGCTCTGCGCAGAAACTATGCTTGCAGGTTAATACAGATGCCAAGTAATGAGCTGGAGACGCACGCATGACAACACTTTTACATGTCTGGTGCAGGGGCTGCTTCAATCTCCAGCTAGTTGCAATCTGCGAGTGACAGAGGGCCTTTAACCTTTAAAACTATATTGTTGGGGCTTTTTGTGTTCGGGGAGAGGGACCGATAAACAAAGAAGAGTGAGACGCGGTGAGATGACTCCTGCTCTGTGGCCTTCGGCCCAGCGCCAGGATGTGAAGTGCATTTACTCAAATGTACTCAAACTGTGAGCGCTCTCACGAATGGAACTTCGAAGGGGGGACACTCTTCGAGAGCACTCTTCTGAAGAGCCCCTTGAAGTTGAGAGCGCAACTTTCTGCTGCGCGCTTCTCAGCTGCCTCCCTCCACGGGTGCAGATGAGCGGTTCCCACCCACGATGATGTGAGAGGCATCCTGGCGCATACTTTTTGTTAGCACTTCTGATGTGTTGGCGTTCATGGTGAATTCTCAAAGCCAAACTGGCCAGAAGCTCCATAGCATCCCGGTGATATGCATTTCCGCGACCAAAGCCGAGCTTCGGATCATCTATGGGAGGCAGCCAACCGTAGGCCTCTCATCTTTTTGGTTTTCTAAATGCTTCTTGATCTCAAAAGCAAAAAAGCAGCTCGGCCTGGGAGCTTCTGACCATCCATCGAGTTCGGAGAGGTACAGTGCACTGCTTCCTCACAGCCTCGTTCGGAGAGACTTGAAGCTCCAAATGCTAGCAGGTACACAAACAGAGCTGCCTCTGTATGCCGGATGTGGAAGGTTTCCTGCAGGATCGTCACTCGCCACCAACTTTGCAAACCACACGCTCTAGCAACGTTGAAGAAGAAAACTGTGTGCAAAGCGTTGACGAATGTGCACACGCTGCCTTCGGATTCTTGGGATCGAAAACGGAGTTGTCCTCCAGACACGTGCCCGAGCAAGAGTTTTCAACATCTTCGTAAGCACTCCGAAATCCCACACCTTGAGCTGGTCGTAAGTGAAGCCATGCTCCTGGTACTGACTGGTACTGCTATGTACTGCTGCTAGCAGCGTTGATATCATGAGTGGCTTCTCTCATGTTATGGACTTCGCCAAAGATGCTTCTCGACACGTGTGGTTTCGGCCTTGGATACTGGATGTCTCTCATCCTTGAAATAGCCGAAGTATGCCTTGGCTCGATCATGTTCGGCCAGATCACACCATTGCCAGTCCCAAAAGCACAGTACGTAACCCTGCAAAAACATGCTCAGCCTTTTGGGTTGTGAAACATTGGCAACATACACAGACAGAAAGTCTCTGTGTTGCTCTGAGGCAGCTGCATTTCTGACCTTATGCAGGTCGGGCAGGGAAGCGCATCTCTTTGTTGCGTCGGCATACGTAAACTTGAGCTCCGTCTGCACCTGCATGGAGGGTCTCCCTAAGAGGTGCTGCATCACAAAAAATTGCATTCCGTCGCAGTACAAGAACGGCCTTGCTTTTGAAGGCCTCACACCTTTGCATTGCAATTACATTCTAGAACTACAATCTCGTTGTGACAGACAGCAAATTGTCAGACTGCGGGAACAACAGGGGCTCGTACTCATCCTTGGTCATAGGCGCCGGGACTTTTGCAAGTGGAATCCTGAGTTACTTGAAAAAGGCGAACGAGCAGAGAAAACCTCGAATCGCTCATCCAAGAAACTTCATTGCAAATATAAAGCGCAGCAATGCGCGGCTCCACAAATGTGAAAACTACTCCTCCAGACTTGAGCCACGTGCTGCAGAAATGACAAACCCTCGGAGAACAAGTCAGCAGATTTCGTGGTGCATTCGTGTGCATTTCCTCTTCTGGCTGTCTCACTGTGCACGATGTCGCTTCACTGCGCTTAACGAATCTTCCTGACAAAGACCAGGAAGGCATAGCGTGATGCTCGTCAAGCCCCTTCCTTTGGCGACAGAAACTACATCCTGAAGAAAGTGAAGAGTTCCAACGGCTGGAACTCCAAGGGACGCACATGCCGTACCTGCGCTTCTGATGACTTCGATCGCAGCAGGATCAAGTTTCAATCCAGTGGGTTCAGCACACTTCTGCAAACTTAGGTGCCCCCGAGAGCCCATGGAATCAGTGTGCTCATCAGTCAAAAAGGGCATCGCGATTTCTGCCCAGGTTGGCTCCTGGAGCTTGCTTTCGCAACGAACGCACGCGCATTGGAACCCCCAATCATTCCGCAGCGTCGCTTCGCGCAAAGATCTTGGTGACATCAACAAGCCGGCATCGAGGTAGGATCGTGAAACACGCTGCCCAGCTGCAATGTCCGCAACGGCTACAAGCTTCATGGTCTGACTGGTCGAGTCCCATTCCACTCGCGCATTTGGCCTGCAACTGTGCTCCACCATTGCCAAAGCTGCAAACAAGCCGAACAAGAAGCGAACTTGACACGTCGAGGCATTGGTAGAAGCTGGCAGATCCAACATTTCGACCCATGTTTCCGCATTGACATCACAGCACGCCCGCCATTGGGCCAGAAGCGTGCCTGCAGCTGGTCCTAACGATTCTGTCAAGTCGCTGGAGAGACATTGCAAAAGTTTATCGTCAAGCGCATCGTGCACCAAGTTCGAATCCCTGCTCAATTCCTTCGCAAGCTGCCTCGTCTCTGAGGCCGAGTTCACGTGTAGCCAAAGGCAACCTGCTACGAGATCATCCATCGCGTCGAGCTCCTCTTCACCAGCACGACAGGCCTTTGCCAACCACGTTCCATCAGAGGATCCTAAAACCAAAGGCTTCTCCTCGGCCAGTGTTTGGCCGAGCGCACATGCCACTTGCGCTTCCAAGCATCGTCCATAACCACGGATTTCGCAGAGCCGAAGCTTTTGGTGGCTAGTTTTAAGGACGCGTGATTTGAGAAATGGCCAAGGTTCCATGCTCCTCCAACGGATGCCCTCTCATGATTGCTCTCTCACCTGGGCACATGCCTTGAGTTGATGCAAATGTCCACGCATCGCATCTACGTGGAATCCAACAACCGCAGCAGTCACAGGCAAAGCTAAGATCAAACAGCAATTCGTGATCCAACGAACCTGACACGACCAGAAATGAGACCAGCTGCCTCCAATGGACGAAAATGTCGCGGTCGACCTGGCACAAGCAAAATGCCACTGAAACACGTGCAACTACAACTCCGCACACATGTGTCCAGCAACCAACCTTGTCGCACACAATGAAGCCCCAGCCATTCTTTGGGCAGAACGTCTTTATGTACCTGATGGCGTCACGAAAGGCATATCCTAGTCAAATACCTATTCCACTAATCCATGTGTTTTGCCACATTTGTCCCAGTCTGCCGGCTACACCTTCCTGCAGTGCTGGCTCAAGGTACAGCCTGACCAACTATGTAGCTGTGTATGAACTTGTTCATGTATATGTATATGTATATGTATATGCTGACATTAATGCTGATACGGAACTATACAGAAGAAGATGTATCTCGTCTATATATATATATATATATAAAATATATATGCATACATTAGGGTTTGGGATTTTGGGTTTAGGTTAAGGGTTTTAGGGTTTAGGGTTTAGGGTTTAGGGTTTGTGGTTTGGGGTTTAGGGTTTAGGGTTTGGGGTCTAGGGTTTAGGGATGTTTAGGGTTCAGGCTTTCGGGTTTCTGGTTCAGGGTGGGGTTATTGTCCGATTTCAGACCAAAGGCTTCACGCCCATCTATGATCTGGTATGCGAACGAACACGTTGTGCTTGCTTAGGAGAACACCCAGCATGCGTAGCAGCGGTAGCAGCAGCGCTGCGGCCAACCATGATGCATGAGCAACTCAACTACACTTGCACGACCTATGAAGTCAGGTATGACGCGGCTCCTGCGAAACACTTCCGACATCGGCAGGTAAGCACCCGCATTGTTTGGAATGTTGCATTTGTCCAACGGTATACACTGAAGTTTGAAAACGTGTCAAGCACGGACCAACATTCAGAGATTCCATCGACATTGAAAGTAATCGGCTCGAGCCTAAAGCAAATGCTGCTTCAAGCGCAAATGCAAATGATCATGCTGACAACTGTGCCCTGCTGAATGATGCGCTTCAAAGACATGACGTGTCCGAGACACATTTAAGCATTTGCCAAACAAGCGCACAGACCATGCAACGATCATCGCCCCAACAGATCATACGATGTACGCTCCTGCAGGACTACTAGTCACATTGGCCACACTGGCCAGTGCCCCCACTGCCCACACTGTCCGCACTGCCCACACTGCCCGGCACTGCCCACACTGCCTGCACTGCCCGCACTGCCCACACTGCCCCACTGCCACCGCCACACTGCCACACTGCTGCACTGTTGTACTGCTGCTGCAACTGGCTGGGCCACACCGCCACTGGGCTGCACTGGCACAGTGCTACACTGCCACGCTGCCTTCTGCACCTTCCTGGCGCCTTGCACCACCCTGCGTTCCTTCCGTGCGCCCTAACCTCCCTCTTACTTGCGCCTGCGCCCCCCCCTAGCGCCCCCCGCGCAATTGCACCCTGCGCCCCGGACTTCCACAGTTGTTTCCGTTTCTTTGTGGGTAAATTTGCTGGAGCTTTGATCCGAAGTTTATCCATGCAGAAGGTTGATCCGCAGGTAGATCGCATTCCGTACAGCTGGCATCCTGTTCTTACGTGCAAGTTTGCAGCTTGGTAAGTGCCTGATTTGCACTGCACTTACATTGCCCGATGCGGGTGCACTCCTGCGCGAGACGGCTTAACCCCGAGTACCCAGGAAGACGATTGGGATGTTATAATACCGCCAACACATCTATAACTCCTGTTCTCGTGGCTCTACCCAAACATCGTCAGCCCAAGCGTTTTTCTTTTGAGCGCTTCATTAGCAAAGGTCGATCCGTGCCCTCAGAATCTCAAATCCACGAGCCATTACAGCTCCAATGACGATTTCCTGTGACACCAAAGACGAGGGCGCATTCCTCCTGATTGAACCTAAGGGTGCACAACAAATGTCTGAAGAGCGGGGCGGGGCATGAGTCCTGACACAAGCTTCTGCTTCGACGCATGCCATTGGTATCTGACTACTGAAGGCGCAGCCATGTGGCAGCTCACAGCTGTCGTCACCTGCCCCTTGTCCATGCAGCCTGCTCGTGCAACGCTAATGCCATATCTGTTCACGCCAGCTCGCTTGCAACTAGCACGCAGCCCGCCTGTGGAAGTACAGCACTGCGAGCATCGACAGCACCACCATGATACCGGCATGGATGAGCATAAACATGACTGACCATGTGGCATGCAACCGCGAGCGCGTGCATCTCCATCCCACGCACCAAAGCGAGCAAGTTAGGATGTGAGGATGCACCGCGTAGCATGCCTCATGTTCAATTTGTGTAATTACTTATTTTTGCAACTTCCTTCTGCAAAAATGTAAAGCGTCCAAAGAACCAATTGAAACCAAGCAGCACGGATCGGCATAACTTGCCACGCCTCCTGACTTGATTCGAAAACCCCTGCTCAATGCCGTAAGAGGAGATCTTATGAGTATACGGCCTAGGGTCTGCGGACTCCTCCCACCCATGCAGCACCTTGCTATGTACAAATGCATGGCACATGAGGGGACCCTTTGCACGGTACAGCGCTGCAGCTACCCGCAGAGCTTAGGGACTGTCAAACCTTGTGATGCTGTGCTGTGCATCGCGTCATCTTGTGGGTTGCCCTTTCGTTAGAATCATCAATGCAACATGGCTCGCAGCTTATTGCGTTCGCAGAGGAGCAGCCGCATTTAAAACTCCAGAAGCGGGCAGAGCAAATTTGAGTTTTTTCCTGGGCTACTCTAGTATGCAGAATACGTTGCCTGTGGCTCACCTTGCCTGCAAAAGATGCTAGGAGAGTGAGCAGTCCTCCACGCTGATGCCATCCTGTCGGCACCACCTCCAAACCAAGGCAGCAAGGCAGCATGCCACTGCCCAACGCAACGGAAGTTTACCCACCGGCCTCTGCACGAAGGCTATTACGAGCGTAGTGCCTGAGTCAAAGCATCAAGTGCGAAGTAGTTCATTACATGATCATTGATACAGCGCCCGGCAAATGGGCGCTTCGGAGCCACGATGCCAGTCGGCATGGAGGTCCAACCTCAAACATTGACAGTTGCCTCTTGCCCGATGGCACGACTCAAACACGACAAAATGCCGGCACCCCTAACGGCAAGCTACCCTAGCGAATGTGCATGCAGACGCTGGGACATGCATTTCCGTATCTGGCAATGCTGCAAATAGCTTATTGAAGTTTGGTTGTTGGAACCTTGCTCTCGCTACCTGATCCGTTGCTGGGTAGCGGCGGTGGTGGTGCTGCTGCTGCTCTTGTTGCTATCACTGGTCATTGTCTCAAGGTTTCTGCCGTGAAGCTAACGAAGGCCTGGCGATACTTCGGTGGACCAATGCAACCTCCGAGCTAGTTCGCCAAGGCTTTCGACACCACTGGACAGAAGGAAAATATATTGCTTCGAACATCCCCACCCTACAGATTTGGAATTTGTGGGCACTGCAGGGATTCTCTGGGGATATTCTGCGATTGGCGAGGAATAGACCCAGGAGGCGAAGAGCTTGGCTCAAAATCTAACAACCCCACACCGAAAGTAAGAACAGTGCCGCTTGGCAATTTTTGTGAGCGTTAAAGTCGTTGATCCGCTTTGGGTCCCCAGCCGACTGTGAACAAAAATATGGCTCTCAGAATATGCTGCGTCATGCCTCGCGTCACGCGGAACCTCGCTAAGTCACAGCGTTGTTTCGCTTATTTCGCCAGCCCTGGAGGGCATAGCCTTTCGACCGCTGGCCGACTCACACAAAAATGTCATCGAATTGCAAGGTGACGCTGCGCTTGTTTGTGTGCCTCCCTTTCGCACGCTGTGTCAAAGGTCGTCGTCGTTGTCGTGGCCATAGTAAGTAGTGGAGCAATGGTAAGACTACTAGCCTGGCAGCATTGGTGGCAATACTTGTTACCAGTAGCACCATTCCACGTATTGACTATACCGCAGTGTCTTCGTGATTGTCGCCGTTGTCGTAATCGTATCAGACAGCTCTTTAGGAATGCATGTTTAATTTGCTTCAAAATCGCCACAGAAAACTTCGGCAAGACTAGGAATTTATCGAGAAACGAAATTACAAAACAACCTCATGATTATGGATACAACGAAACAGCTTTCAGAGGAACGGCGACTAGACGAGGATGAGCTATAATCTATATATGGAAAACTCACACCCGCGCCTATCTCTCCAAAAGCCGAGTGCCGGAAAAATCACAGACAAATTACACACCCTGGATACCCTCCGAAATCCAATCAGTGAAGTGATCATCTTGATGCCCTTCGGTGGTTTGCTGTTTCCCGGGTGCGAACTCTATACATACTCACAGGCTATCCACGACAAACAGTCGAGCTCTTTGTGACGGCCAAGGCACTGCTTGCAGATGCCTTGGCACACTACGGCCGGGAAGGGAAGTAGCAAGCTTGCACATGCCTCGGTGTGGCCAACACGGAACCCACAAAACAGTCACGTCGGTGACCCTCGGCACCGCGCGTTGAAAAGACTCCAGTGTCTCCATTCCGCCAGCTGAGGATACTGCGTCTTGAAAGTTACCTGAGGGGTCAAGCTTCAACCACAATCGAAAATTATTGCAGTTCGCCACCTTCGATCTTGCAATCCAGGCACGGGGCATTGCCATATGTGCACAGGCTGAGCCGGTTCATATTCGATGTAGTGACCTGAGCTGCATGTTGGCTGCAACTCAGTCCTCCGTGGATAGCCGAAAGTGAGCAACGCATACCAGTAACAGTCACATCAATCTGTTCGCCACAAGAAGGCGCATGTGGTTATGAAAAATGGTTTTCTCCCCAGTCACGCATCATCGGACAGCTGCTGGAACCAGCTTCTTCTGCAGATGGGGTCAGGATGGAGGGCTTGAGGAGTCTGGGGCTAGGGTTGGGAAGTCAGCGGCGGGAACGGATATGGTATTACTCAGGAACCAAACGGTCATATCTATTCACCAAAACAGCCGCCACAATTCACCAAAACGGTCCCCCGTGATCAGAAATATCAACAAGAACAATGTGTACCAGTGCTTCGTGCCCCTCCTCTCCGGATCCAAAAAGCATTAATTTGTGGATCATGGGGGGGCAAACATATATATATATGTATATATATATGTATATATATATATATATACAAGCCACACAAGCACCGAAACCGCAACTGAATGGTCTCTGAAATAATTCATTCTAAAAGAAAGGTTTTATGCCATACCCATTGACCCCTTAACGCCCGAGTCTGCGCCTTCTAGAAATCCCAGAAGTGTTGCACTTCCAGCTTGGCCCCAAGTCCAGATCGTTTTGCGGTACGCTGGCGACGGCGACGTGGATGATTCGGCATCTGGGAGGTCGCGCGAGGAGATCTCGCAGGTCGTAACCATGTACAATTCGTCGTGGACTCTTACAGGCTGGGAGCAGACGATAGAAACATGGCCGACGAGCCAGAAGGATCGGTCTGCCCTTTGCAGCACGTCTCCCGGCTTCATGTCCCTCGGCTTCATGCGTGAGCCAAAGGAATCGCGAATCAACATGAATCAACCATCTGCGTCGCACATTGGTCTCCCTTATTGTGGGGGGGATATGTGCCACCAAAGGAGTCCAAAGGCTTCCTATGAGTCATGAAACAACAAGTAATCAACGGTACGCCTCATGATGCCCCCGTCGTACCTATTTCCCACCTTTCCGGGGGGTCCTCCACTGTATTCCACCCATTCCTTTCCCCTAAACCCAATCCACCTATTACTGTATGGGGGGGGGGGGGGGGCATGCTGCCATGAGCGTAAATCAACACCCGTGTTAATCCTTCATTGGTCAACACGCGTTGTCAACACAACTAGCAGACGAGAAAGGAACAAACCGATCAAGAGCAACCAACCAGTCAATCGCGCTAAGCTCTACAAAAAGAGGCACAAATCCTGAAAGGCACTTACAGCTGCTGAAAGAGAGTCTGCATTGACACCCATTTCACTCCACAACTCCATGATCGTGCAGCACTTGTGACACGAGTTCCAGCCAGCGAGGTCTCGAATAGCGAAGGCTTTCCACACCGTTTCACATGGCCGCCCTTGGCTTCACACCGCACGGATGAATGTGCTTGGAATTCTCGGGAAATTGTGCTTCCCAAGTGCCACCGGTTGGAAAGCAGGTCCTTGCAATGCCCAACCCGAGGTCTGACATGTGGGTCCACGTCTTCAGCAATTCTCCAGATCGACGTCCGCTGAATCGCGCTGTCTGCATCAAGGAGGCTCAAATGAAAGTAAGATCCTCTCCTAAAGCTGGCGGCGTCTCGGTCCAACAAAGCGGGCTGCAAAACAGGTAGCCTGCCCAGCCATCCCACTTTGAGCCAGTTATGTAATACTTGTACTCTAGGCCAAGGATATTGCAAGAGGCTTTCTGCTTCTTCTTGACGAACCAAGTTTTGTCTTGGCTGGCATCCGCCAAATCTGCCCACTGCTCAGCGCTACGAGCTGCTTTGACCTTCGCTATCATCTGGCGCCTTGCAGTGCACAGCGCGTAAGGCGCGCATGCAGAAACGCAGCTCAGCAACTGAGCACCAACGCATCCAATGCGACCTGCCTTTCGAGTTCCAAGTGCAGGAGCTTATCAAATGCCTGCAAGGGCACATCGCATCTAAAGCACAAAAAAAGGTTTGACCATACATTATCATACGGCCTCTGGGGAAGCTTGGCGACATGCCCCTCGCAATTTTGAGTAGGCTTGCACCTGGCGAGCTTTCAGTTTTCCACTGTTGTTTCCACTGTTGTGGAGGCTTGAAGCAAACTTGCAGCTAAGGCACAGAAAGGAACGAGGATAATTGACACATCAGCCTGCGAAATCTCCGAACCAATTGCAGATGCATCAATGGTGAAACACGGGCGGCAACTGTGTGGTGACATTGTAAACCCACAAACGCAATGATTGCCGCGTAACTCGGGAAACAAGTCGTTGAGAGCAGCAGCTGGCGTTACTTCGCCTGCGACATGCTGAATCTGCCAGTGGCCAAGCACAAAATTCCTCGCCTTTGGCAAATGGAAGCTCCTGGAACTCTCGCGGCTTGCCGCTATGGTCAAGCGCGGCCATGGGCCCGGCATCAAACGGGCACAATTCTGAGCCTGACCTAAGTTGCAACAGAGCTTGACCAGTACGTCACAGACGAGCATATCGAGCACAAGAAAGCAAACCGAATATCTGAAGTCCAGGCGTGCAGACAGGTTCCGCGCCGAGCTGAGGAATGCTGTTGTCAGGGGCCTGCTGTCAATGTCTTTCTGCAGCCTCTCTTTGTGATGCATATGCCGGCCTGGGATTTGTAGCTGCACTGAAAGCTTTCTTGCACAAAGGAGATGGCGCGCCATAGACTCTCCATGCTGCAAGACTTATTGGCAAGTTTCCCTGACATCCTGGGCGGCGCTGACAGTTGAGGGGGAAAAGGAGCGAAGGGAACAAACGGAGGGGGGTGATCACGAACGGGAAATGACTTGGCTTCCATTATCTCTTCTCCTGTGCCCTGCGTGCAAGGTTGAGCTTGACTTCCCAAATGCTGCGCTATGGATCGGCTCACTCTTTTGAAGCATGTGTTATTTAATTTAATCGTAACACATGCAGTATGAGAAACTGGCGCCAGATGCAGCTGCACAGGAATTCGGACTGTTTTTCGGCGCTTCACCGCAAAAGAGTTGTGGGTCAGGGCCTGGCTCCTAGCCAGGAGGGTTCGGCTCAAAGCCGGCTCTGACACGAGGAAGGTGTCGACCTGAGAGGCATGGATCGACCATGGTCGCCTTCTACGATCACAGCACAAAAATCTGATGGTCATGCACCCCAGAAAAGCTCCAAGACTACATCTCAAAGCTTTTGCTTTCCAAAACTAAACACTTCTTGTTGATGCACCCCAGAAAAGCTCAAAGCGTACATCTCAAAGCTGTTGCGTTGAAATGCTAACAACCTTTCTTAATGCACCCTGAAACAGCGCAAAGCGTATATCCTTTTCTTTTAACTAACAACCTTTCTTGATGCACCCCAGCAAAGCTCAATGCGTACATCCCCAAGCCTTTGCTTTCAATAAACTAGCAACCTTTCTTGATGCATCCCAGAAAAGCTCAAGGCGTGCATCTCGAAGCTTGTGCTTTGACTGAAAGCGGCAATTTGCCACAACTGGAGAGGCCCTTGTAAAGCCATTTTGTCAGTGTAGTTGCTTCATGTGGGCAAGCACAGGTAACAAGGCAAAAGCCAAGGCAACAAGGAAAATAGGCAAACAAGGCAAACAAGAAAGGAAAAGCACAAGGCAACCAAAGGCCAAGCCATCAGGCACACAACGCACACAAGGTCTACAAGGCACATCAGGCAAGCCAAGACTTGTCCCAAAGTCACCAGCTTTCTACATTGATTTTGCTGCCTCCAAACATGGAGAGAAAGAGAGGGGAAAGAGAAAGAGATAGAGAGAGAAAGAAATAAAGAGAGAGAGAAAGAGAAAGAGATCTCCAGTACAAACGGCAGCTGACTGCAGGAACAGCTTGGTAACGTGGAATTACGGCTGGTGGCAGTGCGTCGTGTAGAATTGCAAACCCCAATAAACTCCGATCAATGTGTATTTAGAGCAATGCAAGTCAAACTTCCCAGCAGCTCTGTACGCAGGCTCTTAATCCAGCTTCGACATTTTTCACACAAACGGTTTCAGATCTTTTCTTGCTATGCTCTAAAGAAACGCAACGCCCACACAGGCATAATTTTAAGTTTGGAGAAAATGCTAGAGACGACCTGGAACTTGTATTCAAAGCACAAAATGCAGAAAGTGCCCCTTCAGCGAGCCGTACCAGTCCGCAATGGTGTGCTCTTTTCTTCATTGGTCTTCGCTTGGCTTTGTTGTCTTTAAGGACCTTACAGCCCCTTCAGTCCATTGCAACGGCACTAACTTTCTTTGGCCACCATTTGTCCAGCTTCTTTTCTCCAATTGTCAACTTCTAATTGGCCCTTGTGCGGTTACTGCTTTAGGCTGAAGGCCAAGATAAATGCTGGCAACCTGAGACTGCGGCTTAACGGGGGGCTGGGCTGGCTTTTGCCTTTAGCTTCTCTTTTTCAGGCTTCCACCAAAACCAAAGGCGAAGAGTTGATGGTTTTGGAATTTGTGGATTCGGGTTCAGGGAATTCGCCAAGATCTCGGTGCTCATCACGCACTACTGATGTCGGGCTTGCAACAAGTCATGGGGATGAATGGGCTAGCCTTAAGGCAGAGTGGGATGAACTGGTTTCGTTCCTGGGGCAGAGATTCTTGCCTGAAATGCAGGTAAGTCAAAGGGTTGTGGGATTTACATGCCCAAAGCCACCTGGTAGTGTCTGATGCAAAGGTCCTTCCAAGTTTGGAGAGTGCAGGGCGTTTCCAGCCTGGACTTGTTCAAGCTGGAGGCATCCAGCAAAGAGTGTGTTCCAGGCAGAAGCTTGTAAATATTTTTCAACATGTTCCGAGCTGAGGTATTTTCCAGCAGCCTTGGACTGTTTCACAAGAAGCAACACCAGCTGCTTTAAACTTCTGTCAACTTTTTGGAATCCTTAAAGGCTTTGTTCTCCCTTCAGGTTTAGGACGACAAGAAGCAACACGAGCAGGTATTGTCCTTTCAAAATTTAGCCAGCATACCACTATTGTTACTGCTAACAGTGTTGTGGCATGCTGGCAATTGAAAAACTGGTATAAATTCTTGTCATCCAAAATCTGAAAGAACAGAAAATTTCAAACAGTGACGTCAGGTGTTTCATTGTTATCCTGAACCTGAAAGAGCAAAAAGCCCTCCGAATCAAAAGAACGTGTTGCATCAACTCTTGCAGTTGGAGGCAAAGCAGTTTTAAGTATTGTGGTGTGCTGGCTAAATTGTGCTTCTGCTCGTGTGCTTCTTGTCGTCCTAGACCTGAAGGAACCCTTTAAGGATCCGAAAAAGGTGGTGCACTGACAGTTTTATGGTGGCAGTTTGAAACACAACGTCTGGTGGTGTTGCTTCTTGTCATCCAAAATTTGAAAAAGCAAAGCCCTCGAAAACAAAAAGCGTGCTTGATCAATTTTTGCAGTTGGAGCGAGTGTTTTTTTGACAGTATCGTCAATTTTGACGAGCAGTGTTTGCTGGTTTTCTTATCATCCTTCACCTGAAAAAGCAAAGCTCTCTCTTAAAAAGCAAGTTGTTGCAACTCTTGCAGTTGGGGCAAAGCAGTTTTAACAGTGTTGTGGTATGCTGGCTGAATTTTGAAAGGGCAATACCTGATCGTGTTGCTTCTTGTCGTTCTAGACCCGAAGGAACAAAGCCTGTAAGGATCCCAAAAATCACAGTTTCGTGGTTTGCTGACAGAATTTGAAACAGCAACGTCTGGTGGTGTTGCTCTTGTAATCCAAAATTTGAAAGAACAAATCCCTCGAAAATCAAAAAAGCGTGATTGATCAATTTTTGCAGTTGGGGCAGAGGGTTTTGACAGTATTGTGGTGTGCTGGTAATTTTGAAGGATCAGTGTTTGCTGGTGTTGCTCCTTGTCATTCTAAACCTTAAAGAGCAAAGCCCTCCAGATCAAAAGCACGTGTTGTATCAACTCTTGCAGTTGAGGCAGAGCAGTTTGCTTTTTGTGATGTGTTGAAAGTTGGTGGTGTTGCTTCTTGTCATCCAAAACTTGAAAGAACAAAACCTCCAAGATCAAAGAAAAGTACTTGATCAATTTTTGCAGTTGGAGCAGAGGGTTTTGACAGTACCGTAGTATGCTGGCAATGTTGAAGGAGCAGTGTCTGTTGGTGTTGCTTCTTGTCATCCTAAACCTGAAAGAGCAAAACCCTCCAGATCAAAAGAACGTACTCTTGCAGTTGGAGCAGAAAACCGCTCTGCCCCAATTGCAAAAATTGATCAAGCACGCTTTTTTGTTTTTTGAGGGCTTTGCTAAGCAACACCACCAGACGTTGCTGTTTTCAAAACATGCTTTCGCAACATGACAGCAGTTTACCCTTTCAAAATTAGCTGGACACCACAAACTGTCAAAACTGCTTCTAGCTGCAAATGGACGTGTTATCTTGGCTGTCGATACAAAACACGTTCTTTTGATCTGAGGGTTTCGCTCTTCAGGTTTTGAAGAAAATTGAACCACTGCTGTTAAACCTCTCTGCCCGAACTAAAATTGATATTTTTGATTTAATTGATTAAAGCACGTTTTTTTGATTTTGAGGTTTGTTTCTTTCAAGTTTTTTGGATGACAAAAAGCAACCATTGCTAGAGCTGTTCCAGCAGGTATTTCAAAATTCAGCCAGCATTCCACAAGACTGTCAAAAACCCGTTTTGCGTTGCTGTTTCAATTTTCTGCCAGCACACCAACACTGTCAATGCATCATGCTTTTTGGGATCCTTGAAAGTCTTTGTTCCTTCAGGTCTAGGACGACAAGAAGCAACACGAGTTTCGCGGACTTGGATTGCCGCTAAAGAGTGATTTAGCTGCAGACCGCACTGTGACATTTATATTTTAGGTTAGTCTTACTTGCAATCGATATATATATATATATAAATATATATGTGTGTATGTATATGTTTATGTTTATGTCTATGTTTATGTCTATGTCTATCTATGTCTATGTCTATGTATATGTGTATATGTCTATGTAAAAGTTTATGTATATGTATATGTGGATGTGTGTGTGTATGAATATGTATATGTATATGTGTATGTATATGTTTTTGTATATGTATATGTATCTGTATATGTCTATGTATAAGTATATGTATATGTATATGTATATGTATATGCTTTTGTTTTTGTTTTCCTATATGTATAGGCCTATGTGCACGTAAAGGTCTAGGTATATGTATATGTAGATGCAGATGTATATGCATTGTGAGCAGGTCTAAGCACGCACGTTGCATGTGCAGAGCTGCCAGGACCAGTACTGTAGTCTTCTTTGCATGTGTAGGTTTGCAATTCGTTTCAATGCCAATTTTGGCTCAAGTACCGAGCTTGTGCCTTTGAGCACGGTAGAGTCGTACAGTAGCTCTTAGGTTGCTGTGCGGTCCGACCGGACGCACTCAGGCGTAGCTGCACAAGTGCTTGAACCCGCGAAGTCGTAAAACAGCGTGACCGGGCTGTGATTGCATTGGCTTAGTGCAAGTCCAGTGCTGGTCGACTTCACAATTGGGGGCTGTTCTGGGAAACGTACAGCTCTTGTGCCTACGGCCCGAGTGGGCAAGCATTGCTTTGCTTGTCTGTCGCGGTCCGTGACCTGGACGCGTGGACTGTGTGCCACGCTTGCGGCCTGTTAACCAAGGCGCGGCGCTTCGCGTGCCACGCCTGCGGCCTGTTTACCAAGGCGCGGCAATGTCCGCAGAGGTAGCAGGTCAGGCCGAGGGCGTCACCCTCCTC